GAAAGTGGGGGATATTGATTTGGGTCTGTCTGTCCGTCCGTCCGCCTGTATTTATGTCTGTCCGTAACACTTTCGTTTCCGTGAGATATCTCAAGGACCCTTTGAGCTTTCGCAATGAAATTTTGCATAGCAACTCCCTATGGACTAAAGAAGAACCCCATTAATTTTGAGATCAAAAGGTCAAGGTCATAAATTCATAAATTCTGTCTGTTTTAACACTTTCGTTTCCGCGTGATATTTCGCGAATTCTTTGAGCTTTCGCAATGAAATTTTACTTTACAACTCCCTGTGACCTAGGAAAGACCTCTATTGATTCTGAAGTCAAAAGGTCAAAGTTCAAGGTCGTAAATTAACAAATTCCGTCTGTGTGTAACACTTTTATTTATTATGTATAGATGTATTAATATGTATTGTGTAAAATTTTGACAATATCGAACGTGAATATAAACATTATATGTGACATAATGTTTGCATTTAATCAGACTTAACTCAATATGAGTTAAGTCATATTATGGAAATGAGTAGATCAACTTCTTTCACATAGTCAAAGAAGCATAACTCTTACAACATTATCATTACTGACTTTTGACACTACCCTTTTGAAATAATTTGCTGCATAATCAAGTGCCTCCGTGGTCTAGGGGTATGATGCTTGCTTAGCAAGCGAGAGGCCCGGGTTCAAATCCCGGACAATCCAATTTTTTTAAATGTTTTTTTTTTTGGATTAAGTAAATGATACTATTCAACACGTGAAATGAGAAAGTTATGACGTCTGGCGTGTACAAACTCATAAAATCATTATTATAGTGTGATAAATATTCTATTTATTAAAAAGAATCTTCTATACACATATTAAAGAATAAGCAATCAAATCTTTATAACAATATTGGCATTTTTTATTTGCTTCAATATACATGTATACATTTAATAATTCTACAAATCCAGATGGGGGGGGGGGGTCCGACCCCCACACCCCCAGAACTGCGCAGCTCTCCTTTTTTCCCTAAGCGGGGGACACAAATTTTCTCTGAATTAGCTTGTTTATATCTTGCTGTGTGGGATTTAACTAGCGCTAAAAATAAATGCGGTTGTAAGTTTTTATGTAGTTCATTACTCTTTTGTAGTTTAAAATCGCAAATAATTTCATTTTCTGTTGTAAGGAATTGCTATATTTGTGTGATGTCACAGTAAGCATTTCCACTATAATTCAGGCCTTAACAGAGCTGCGAAATACCAGTTATATCTAAAAGAGATTTGGAAGGCATTCTAGCATGATCGGTGCTCATTTCAAAAACGTTCTGTAAAACTTAGTTCATGCGTAATAGCATGAATGCTCTTATTCGTGCCAAAAGGGGAACAACTAATACCAGAAAGTTGATTATCAATTATCTTATATAAAATCACAATATTATTAAACTCTGCTTTACTTTGTTTAGTAGCAGTATATTTATTTTCAAAACGTGCATTTGATTTCTTCACAAAAGTATATCAGCTTAAACGATTTTTATTTATATACATGTATGCTAGTGAAGCATGCAAATGATATATTAAACTTTAATAAAACTTACAAAAATATTTAAAAAAAATGTATCTTTAGTCACTTTACATTGAATTCTTTAGTTGGATTCCACCTTAAATAATGAAAATAACGGTATTTCAACCTCTTCTTTTCCATTCTGGTATACATACCTGTAAATATTGTATGCTGAACAGCCATAATAACATATCATACAAGCAACCAACACTGAAATCAAAAACGTTTTTACGTAGTTTATAACGTGCATAATAGAAGCATTCACTAGAACTTTAATGGTAATAGAGAAGCATTATATAACTTACCGGTATACAATCAACACCAAAAAATATTGGAGACAGAATAACATAACTTTAAATACCTTACTCATGAAGGGTAGTACCTCCTTTTAATCTCATTTTTTGAAGGAATCAAATAAGGAAGAAAAAAGCATTCTGGAAAGAAAATGTTGAAGGAGTTGGCGAAGTAGGGAAGAGAGAGGGTTGGGAATAGGGTGGTTATCGTTTCCTATCTAGAAAACGTAATATGTGCTTTGAAATTGCCCATTATTATCTTTTGATTAACTTTTATTTTCTCAAAAAAGGTTCCATATATTGTCCTAGTGTAAAAGTTAGTCATCAACTGTAAAAGTCAGCACTTCTCGCAAAAGTCCAATAGTGGGATCCTGTGAAGATCCCTCAAATCTTTTTTGAGATCTCTAATCCTTTAAGCAATTTGAAGCGCAGCTTGAAAAAATATCTCACCATGTGCATAGAGCAAATAATATTTTTAAAGTATATTTTGAGATAATAAATGAATTACTGTGCAATCGACAAAAAATAGCTTAGTATAAAAAGAATTCAGAAACTGATTTAACTTATTAATAAATCGGTACACATCCGATAAACAAATGTTACGGCAATACATTATAAATACAGCCGTTAGAACAAAATGAGCTTGAAAATTCAGCGTTCTACTGACTGAGCTACAAAGGTTAGTGAAACAGCCAACAAGTACTTCTACATGTAGAGTATGCTCTTACTATGTACATTGCATGGCCAAATAGAGAAGTATTACAAATATCAGGCCATTGTGAGAGTAATCAATCAGAAGTAATGGCTTTTAGATTTTAACCGTGTTTTAACAAATATTCGAGGTTTGTCCGACGAAAACCGCAATTGTTTATTATCTGATAAACTTCCTTCCAAAATTATTATATTTTTACATTCATGTGAGAATGGACAAATAAGTATAAAATGATTTGACATGTTGACTTTCTCAACAAATAAATGGAAGCATTTTCCAAGCATCAATGGTATTTTTGTACCTATACTGAGCTCTAGTGAATCCAGTATCCATTCTTGTAATTTTAAAAATGGGGTTCTTAGCTAGAGGCAGCTGAGATAGTAAATATATACTCACATTCTTTATTCGTCAATTTTGCCATTTGAAAAAAAGGTGAAGAGAATACAATAAATTTCTTTTTTTGTCATTCCGCTCAAATACCAGTAATTGACAGGGTAAAGCTTGTACAGTATGTTTATATAGTGTGTCAGCGGGAAATAAATTGTACGTCCCTGTCGCCTGTATGATGCTGTTGTCACCGTTTTAAAATAGTATTCCAGTTATATGCCATTGGTTATATATGGAAATTTAAAATATTCCTTTAAATATCTACATTTTAAAAAGAAAAATACTGCTAGCTCCGAAGAGAGATAGAAGTCTGTGGATGATAATGTTACATTTCGAAGTTTCCTAATAGGTGAAAAAAACTTGATTTAATGGAGAAAAAAAAAAACTTTGACAGTATTAGAATTCAAAAGATGTATCATTTTGAAATAAATATTTTTTACCTACTATATTTATACATGTATATGATTTAACAACAATTTGAATTCCATTGATGGTGAGTTTGGGTGTCTTTACAGAACTAAAACATTAAGTGTGCATACAATTCATAAAAGTTTGTTGATATCGAAATCAAAACTTTGAACAGATAAAATTTTTAATAACAAGTACTTTAATATATGTACATGTTTATTTACATACGCGTACCACATTTCTCAGTAACAAATGATCCTGTTTCAACATCAGACATCATTTCCATAAATGAAAGACGCCATTTACTGTGCAAAACTTTTCCAAAGACTGCGTATTTCTTAGGAATTATCAGTTACATGTAATAACATACTTGGAAAAACACAGCGAAGTCAAATTAACCTACAACAAACCAGTTTTTCTATTACCTTTTACCTCTTACAATTTTTATATACAGGAATTTGTGGTAAGATTGAATTAGAATGAATTTAGAAATTATATAAATAATTGAGGGGTATGAATCATTCCATGAAAAGTGAGAATATCAATTTCATCCTTGTGCTATTTTCTTCCTCTATTTCTATACATTTTAGCATCCTACGGTTTGTAAAATATTTTAATAAAAGTGAACACTGCATGTCCTGTTGTGATAAAAGAAAGAGATATTTTGAAAAAGTGATGAATTTCACGAAAAGAAATTCATAGTTCCTTCCCTATCAAAGAAACTTTCCTCTAAAACAATTTAAGAAAAAATTATCTTGTCTAATTGAATTTGATAATATCACCTGGTTTAAAAGGACGGTGAATTAAAATACAGGAAAATAGGTTTCTCGGGCTGATGTAGATTAAATACGTATAATTGAACTAATGAAAATTATTCAGATGAAGTTGACTAGAAAATTTGAAATCACAAACTTACAAAAATCAATAAGCCCGTTTTTGTATTCATGTGAAGCAGAATTTATTTAAAAAAAAAGTACACAAAAAGAAGAAGTCTTTCGCTGTGGCCTTCAGTTCGACATTTAGACGACGTTATATCAATTAACAATATTCATTTTCTTCCTACGTTGATTGGTTGATTCGATATATCCCTTTCATCTCGAAACAAAAAAAGAAAAAGCAACCACAGAGACTGACACATGAAGTATCGCCTATAGCTAGAATCGGAAATGATGAAAAATGTGAATTTCTTTCCAATTTCATTTTTGAGAACATCACGCAAGACAAATTGTTTTTATGGTTGTATTTCGATTAGAGATACATGTAAACGAACACGTTTTTGTGACGCCCTCAGATTTCAAAGTCACTAAAATCTTCTGATAATAAAAACATTCATCATCTAGTGTCCATTATTGATGTAGTTTTAAAATTTTAATTGATAATTGTCTTGAAAAAAAATATTTCAAATGTACCCTTACATCTATTCTGTGACTTGACCAGTTTACATATTATATCTTGTATAATCATTGAAAATATAAACAGTCTCAATTTGTCTAAGAAAAACAGGTTATTTCATTTTGATAAACATTTTTTCTTCATCAGAATCTGTCAGATACAAGAATGGATATTATTCTGAACTTCATACAAATTCAAAATTGATTAAACTCAACATTTTAAAAGTACTTCTAATATCAGGTATATAAATTTATTCTTCATGTTTAAGAAACATTCAATATATCTTCCATCCAGAAAATGAAGAAAAATTTTCTCTTGCATAAGCTGCCAGGTACCCGGAAGCCACATCGACCTTGTCCCCTTTCTTCAGACGAACAACAATCGTATTGGAACCGCTACTCCAAACACTCTGTGACGTGCGCGTATTGTTGAATGCAGTAAATCCTTTGTAATGACCATTAACTCTTAGGTAAGGATGAGCTGCTTTACCTGGTTGAGTCAATGTTGCCCAGGTAAATACATATATTCCACCAGAAGGCGCTGTAAAGGTTCCTGTTGCCTTGTTGTATGAATTACCATCGTTCACAAGAATTTTGTCATAGATCCATGCCTCGTGTTGTTTGTAACTTTTGGATGTTGATTGGCAAGCTGAAAATGCAACATTGCCTGGAAAAAAAAATTATCTACATGTACTTGTTTGTTATGTTTCAGTTTTGATTCCTTGTTTTTAACTATATACTACATACGGGGAAATAAATTTTAGCTTCCATTTTATTTTCATCCCTTTCGCCCCTGTCGCAAGTGGACGAATTTAAAACGAAAAAAAATTCAAATGAGATAGCATTGACTCTTGAACACAGCTGTGTTTGGTCAATTATAAAACGAGGAAAAATTGTTTACGTCCCACTCAAGAATTTTTCACTCATATGGAGACGCCACCACTTTCCGGTGGAGAGCTGCAAATTTTGACCTGTACTCGGCACTCAGGGCCATTGAACAGTGAGGGATCTTTTTCGTGCCAGCACCTACAGCGACACGGAACCTCGGTTTATACGGTCTCATCCGAAGAACCGGTCTCCACGTCCTACAGTGAGATTCGAACCCGCGACGTAAGGATCAACTCCTTACTCCGCGACTCTAGAACGAACGCTCTAACCACAGTGCCAAGCGGGCGACGTTTGCTAGTATGAAAGCAAAAATAATAGGTGGCGAAAATAATCTTGTATACAGTACCACGAAATGATTGATTGATTGATTGTATGTTGTTTAACGTGCCATTCCAGAATTTTTCACCCATATAGAGAGGCCACTGAATGCCGGTGAAGAGCTTCAAATTTAGACCTATACTTGGCACTCAGGGCCATTGAGCAGTGAGGGTTCTTGATCGTGCCAACGCCTACCGCGACGCGGGACCTCGGTTTTTTTTTTAAAGTTTCACCCGAAAGGCCATTACTTTCATTTCTAGTGCCGGGTAACAGTAACAGTCAGTACCCATGTTTAAGTCTTAGGTTTGCAGCGAACGATAATCAAACACCGAGTTTCCCTATCACGAAGCGAGCGCACTACCACTAGGTTTATGTGACTGGTTTACCGTGAAATAATGTGGTACTATAAACATTGCTAGTGTATTATATCTCTTTGTTCACAGGCATTTTTTTTTATATATACCTAATACTTAGAGAAATTAGCCTCACCAGCTTCCCTATATCCTCCTCCTTTGATGACAGAGTCCAATCCCTTCTCCATATTGCTCGCCTGCGTTTTCAAATATTCTAAAAACGGCTTGTGTCCAGAAACAACTTGGAACGCCACAATGAACCCAATTATTATAATCATGTTTCTCATTCTTTCTGAAATCTCAAGAATTGAAAACCTAGTTACACATATGTTACAACAGATCAAGAAAAATCAATTAAAAAATGAATTTAAAAAGGAACGTTCTCACCTCTTATGACCGATTCTTTACAATTCTCATGCTTCATTTGTTCGAATTCCTCCTATTTATAAGGTTATAAAACCATATGTTAATCAATACCACGCAATGAAATGTGATACACATGCAATTTGAAAATTTACATTGTTTTAATGCAAATACTTTTTTTGATCGAATATCAAATGGATGTTAAAATTATTTTTTTATAAACGCATATACAAATTTATTTTTATAATCACTTTGATCAATTTCAATGGTTCATATTTCGTGTTTTGATAGTTTGCATTTCTACATATGAGTAAGACTAGATCGATATACATTATTAAATAATGACAACAGCTTCAATAATATCAGTCTAAACCAACAGCATAAAAGACTTTGATATGCTTCAGTGTACAGGCCGTGGTCAGAGGTTAAATTTATTATGTGTATTTAAAAGAGACTAGCGCAGGTGATTAATTAAGATTGACTTTGGATATTTTGTGAATATTAAAAAGAAGTCTATGATCTTTAAACAAATCTTGGTTAGAATGGATGGGAACTTTGAATTAAAACAAAAATACCCTTCAATTTGTGGGTAAGTTGAAATTCTAATTAAATATTTCATACACTAATATTAATCTTATAGCTTGTCCGAAGTACTTTTTATTTAAACTAGAATTCAATAAGTGTATTTATGTAATAAAATGTTGATATTTAAAAAAAAAGTTAATCACTTGCGCCGAAGCGATTTATGTACAACACCTGAAAACAACACCTGGTCATTGACCGTTGATTGTGATCAATCAAGTCACGTGATATCGCAGCAAATGTGTCAATCTGTTGATCAGAGGTTCCTTTCAAAATTGTCTGTTTTTATAAACATAATCTACCAATTAAAATCAAAACCGAGTAAGAAATATAATAATATTTTGCTGACAATTTAGAGCTTCGGGCAGCCTCAACGAAAAAAAAAATCTACAAAAAATCAACTTTGTGTCAGTAGCAAGTTTATGGCTTCAGTATTCTGGGATAACTGTTGTACAATAATGGTTGAATATTTACAGCGATAGAACACCATATTGGACAATACAATGCTTCCGAATGGTAGCAATTGAAGAAGAATATCAAGGAAAGACAGAGGGGAAAACTTCCAGCTGCTTCAGGATAATTCAGTTGTCCACACATCTCAAGCTGCAGCTGCCAACTGTTGATGTGAAATGCTTCTACACCCATCCAACTTCTAAACCTTATATTATCAGACTTTTTTTTTATTTCTTCCACAAACTAAAATCTGAACTTTATGGTAAAAATTGCAGCGACGATGAAGTCGTCGATGTTTTAAGGACCTTATTAAATGGCAAAGAAGAAAACTAAAATGGTATTTAAAAGTTGAACACCGTTGAAACAGGTGAAGCATAAACATCAATATACCATTTCTGGTCCAGCTTAAAAACTGTAAAACTAGGATAGTTTGTTCTTATTTGTTTTAAACCCCAAAACTGCAGATATATCTGAAATATCAGGTGACGTCGTTCGGTCGCAATGACGTTCTTAACAGTCGAGATGAAGTTCTTCTTCCACCTTTTCCCGATAGCCTTTCACTGTGGTCTAACCGTCCGTCTAAAATGCTATCTTACTACTAATAGAAAGATATAAGGAATACCACTGGTTTACTACATGTTGCATCAAGAATAGTTTGGGTTTCTGTATGCGTTTTCCGAGCATTACGCATAATTTAATAAAAGTGCGCTGCTCCGTCAAATCTCAAGTCGTTATTTTTTTTTTTTTAAATTTTCATAGCAATCACATCGGAGAAAAAATGCAATATTTCTATAAATATACGTAAATATTAAGTCTGAAATCTAATTACTTAATAATCAAACAATGAAAAGAAAATTTAGAGAATTTTTTGAATAATATTGCGAATTATAGAAAATAAATATGTAAAATTTTCGATTCTTCGATTTGGTTTTTCACCACCAGCAATATCAAAACAGCAATAATTTAAAGACAAATTAATGGAAATTAATACCCCCCCCCCCCCCAATATCTACTGGAATTTTTAGGAAATATTTATCTGTGAAACTTCAATACTATTTGACATCTGGAAGAGTAAATTATAATTATAGCAGAGTCCGTTTAATTTTTGAACGCCCCTCATGCATAAGTATTCAGATTATGGTATCAATAGAAAAAGCGAAAGAGAACCAAATGAAAGTAAAAACAAAATATATCCTTGGAGTCTTGTTCAATAATCTTGAGTTTCAAGAGATCTTTACATTTTTACCTTTTTTCCCTCTTTAAAGTTTTTTCAAAAATTTATATAATTCGGATTTCCAACGTTTCGGCATGAGCATCACTGAAGAGACATAATTTGTCGAAATGCACATCTGGTGCATCAAAATTTGTACCGTTTATTATTTACATTATGACCCCTGGGTCGAGACCTCTGCCGGTGGACTGTTAGTCCCCGAAGGTCTCTACAGTCCAGTAGCTTAGTACTTCGGTACTAGCTTGAAAACACGGATATATAAATTTAATCGCTGTGGTAAAATTTAGAAATTTATTTCAAAATTAAGAATTATCTCCCTCATGCATAGCTCTGATCTTTCGACGTATTAGGCTCCATTCTTTAGCATCCTCCCTTAATAGCTCTTCAAAGTTTTTTTTTAAATTTATATATTTCGGATTTCCAACGTTTCGGCATAAGCATCGCTGAAGAGACATAATTTGTCGTAATGCGCATCTGTTGCATCAAAATTGGTATCGTATATTATTTACATTATACATGTTTATGTATTACCTTCTTGATTAACAATAAATATTATAGTAGCCCGTGTGGCACAGTGGTTAGAGCGTTTGCTCTAGAGTCGCAGTGTAAGGATTTGATCCTTACGTCGCGGGTTCAAATCTCACTGCGGGTCGTGGAGACCGGTCCTTCGGATGAGACCGTATAAACTGAGGTCTTGTGTCGCAGTAGGTGCTGGCACGAAGAAGATTCCTCACTGCTCTATGGCCCTAAATGCCTAGTATAGGTCTAAATTTGAAGCTCTCAACTGGCAAGAAGTGGCGTCTCCATATGAGTGAAAAATTCTCGAGAGGGGTGTTAAAACAATAATCAAACAAAACAAACAATAAAATATTATCATTTTAACGCGGTTACCACAAAGAATATAAATGCAAAAAAATTATTTGTATGTAATTAGTGGTAAGGATTAATTAAATCTGACATACATGTTTATTAAAAAATATAAATTAAATAATGTTTTTTCCTTATCTGTAAGGTAATATTTTTCTTCAATGGAAGATTTTTTTTTAAAATTACTGATTCTACTGTTTCCTTTTGTCTCTCTCTTTTTAGCCAAATTGAAAACCAAAATTTCTAAAAGAAAATACTGAACTCTCTCAATGACATTTTTAATTAAGAAATAATATGTAAAGGAATTTTGATATTGTAAAAATAATGTAAAAATCTATTTCCAGTCACGATTTACCACGAGTATTTAAAAATTAGGCTTTTTTTTTACTATAAAGCCGTAAACTTTGTCAGATCTGTTAAAAATTAAATTTATTATCATTAATTAACGAAACTCTCGGAAAAAATAAAACATAACAGGGATTGCAATAAGGTTATGTAAACTTTGTTAAGAGTAATGAATAAAACTCACTGGTGAAGAAGAAAATAAATGAGTCGGGTGTTTATCCTATATACACTGTCTTAGATCATTAAAAACAAATGATTACATAGATACTAAGCGGAGAATATAATATGAAGCAAAGTGTAAAGTGTGATCAAGGTTAAGTCATAAGTATTGGGAACGAGGTGACATTATACTGTGGTAAAGGAAGTGCATGGCAATAGCTGTAAAGTGGCAGGACAAGAAACATTTGTTTTTGGGAGGTACCCATTGACAGCAGTCAATGGTAATCCAGTGAAAAAGAAATCAATTCTTTTGTATTTTTACTGCTTTAATTTATTTATGTGTTCAGATAACATAATAACGGAACATGAGCGAACAGTGAATGAAGACACATCACCTACTCTCGATTTGGCTGTATTGTACGTTACACAAGGAGTAGACTCAAAGATGACGGACTTTACTTTCCCAGTATCGATCGTTCGATTCCCGCAATGGGAGTAATTTCTTTCTCTCCTTATTCTTCGTAAGATGTTCATTAAGTTTTTCAATTCTTTATGATATATGTATATCTGAAACAATTGTGAATTTATGTTTTTGAAATAAGCCAAACATTTAATATAGTGAGTTTATATGATGTTATTCTAGTTATGAATAAATAAATGTTTTTAAAATGTCTTATATTGCAATTCTGTTTTTATAGTTTGCTATACCAGCCGTCACAACAACTGCATAAAAAACTATAGTTCGAAAAGACAACAGAAACTAAACCATAAGTATTTTATTGGAAAAGAATACACTATTCTATAAGTTAAAACTTGGTACTATGTTTCAAAGAATACCTGCCACAGAACAATGTTTGTAAACAAAATCATCGTTAAGAAATGAACATCTTTAATCAATGAAACATATTTAAGGTACAACAAAGCAATTCTGATCCACAACAGCCATTTACTTGGACAATTCCTTATTTATAAGGTTATACATTGACCAACATATAGGTTTTGCATCCAGGAGTTAAAACTGCCATCCATTGGTTTCTTATAAGTTGTACGAAACATAGTTGTTTTATGATTACTGACCTTACTAAGGTTTCAAATCTGAATAGATGATATCACTTAAATATATACATTTACCCCGGATATACTCGCGTATAAATCGGATTTTTGGGAGTATTGATTTTAAATTGATAA